GTATATTATATTTATTACTTATTTTATGATATAAAATAAAATGATCTGTTATGTTTACCAATTATCTTTATTATTTTATGACTGAAAAATAAGTAATAATATATTTATATATATTTAATAATACATACTTGATCATTTGATTTTATATAATAAAAAATAAATAAACAACTGGTGTGTGTATATATATATATATATACTTTTTTTGTTTTTTGTTATTATTATTATTGATTTTTTTATCTCAAATCTAAAGAACAAATGTATATACAGTATATTTATTTTTTATAATACTAATTATATGTGTTGTTTTTCTGCAGAGGGAGTCTGTTTCTTCTCAGCTACATGTGTTTCCTGGTCAATGTCATGGTTGGTGTGGTAGTGGGCATCTGGAGGTTAGTGGTCACTGCCCTGTTCAACATAGTCCACTTAGGACGCCTGGACATCAGCCTTCTGAACCGCAGCGTGGAGGCCTTTGACCCAGGTACTGACCCAGGGTTTACAGCAAATCCAATGGATTGCATTGTTGCTCCTTTAAACAACTTTAGAGATAGGTCGCTATCTCAGACTGAGTTCTGAAGCAAACTGAAGTACGAAGTCTAACGAAGTCAGGCTAAGACTGATTAGGTCCCGCGGAGGGCAAATTGAGTGCTGGTCACAATTAACACAGCTTTATGATGATTTAAAACATTATCATCTAATATTTATATAACGTCCCGAAAAATCACATCCACTGTACTGCACCTGAGCAAGGTGGTTAAACCTATTTAAGCTGGATTTGTAGCTACTACTTCCACCATATACTGTATTTCTGGAAATATGCAATACTGAAAGTCTGATGCTACACCCCTCAGATGTTGGCTGTGAGTGTCATTTGGTTGTCTCTCTGCAGGATACCGGTGTTACGCTCATTACCTGAAGATTGAGGTCAGCCAGTCTCACCCCGTGATGAAGGCCTTCTGTGGACTCCTGCTGCAAACCACGGGCCAGGACAATCTCTCCGCACAGAGGATTCGAGATGCTGAAGAAGGTCTGTGCTTTTCTTTCTTTATGACTTCAGTTCATGACTACGATATGATTACATATCATTCGCTTTGAGAGAGTCCGCTCTCAGACTCCAAGCTTTTAGACTCAGTCGTTTAGATCTGAGGATGTGGTCAGTGTTTTGAGGCTGGGTTTGTTTCATTTGAGGTTTGACAGTGAGTGTGTGGTGGAAACTGTACATTCCTGGACACTTTACTTTTAGAAGTCTTACTTTAAAAAAACATTGAGGGATTTCAAATAGGTGTGTTTTTTTATTTCATACTTTAAGTGATAATCAGTTCCAGACGTTAATATATAAAAAAGACACAATATGGTCAGCTGTTTTATTTTTGCTCAGCCACCTATTATTTATACTAATAACTACCATAAAAATAAATATATATAAAATTAAATATATAATTATTAAAATAAATAAATAAATAAATAATAATAATAATAATAATAAGGAAATGTGAAACACCACTTTAATATGTTTTATATTATATGCTTTGTTTACCAATTATCTTTATTGTGTTTGGCAGTTGTTATAAAAAATAAGATAGTTATATTATATATTTACATATGCACCAATTCTATTTTTACTCAACCACCTATTAAAACACTAAATATACGACATACATTTTATATATATATATATATATATATATATTAGTGCAGTCATCGTGATTAATCGCATCCAAAATAAAAGTTTGTGTTTACATAATATATGTGGGTGCACTGTGCATAATTATTTTATACATATAAATACACACACATGCTTGTATATATCTAAGAAATATTTTCATGTATATACTGTATATAGATTTACATATAATTTATATTATATATGAATATAAATATTTTATATATAAATAATATTTTTTTTCTTTAATATAGATGCATGTGTGTGTATTTATTTATATATATATAACATAATTATACACAGTGCATCCACATTATGTAAACACAAACCTTTATTTTGAATGTGATTAATCATTTGACAGCCCATATATATATATATATATATATATATATTAAAAACAATGTGTGTGTTTATGTGTTCATACATGCAGACTACAAACAGATTGACCTCCCAGTACCCAGTAGTGTTCAGACTAATACCATCTTTAAAAAAACAAACTAATTTCATCTTATTAATGCATTTCAAAACAGAAAGCAGTGAAAAATGATGTTAGATCATCTGTGTCAAATCTCTGACTGAAGCTAAGATATTTATATTGATCCATGTTTGATTTCTCCTGGGTGATTCATGCCTATATGCACAGCCGGCTGGTTGGCCTTGTTTTTAGAATAATTGATTCATCATGTTGCCCCGCACGCAGCAGGCGAGCGTTCCCGCAATGATTAAATTTGTCAGGATAAATTGGGCCCTGATGTGCAATAACTCACCTCGGCCCTGCTACTGCTCAATCAGACCTGTCGTAGACACGGAGTACACGTCTCGTAGTGTGAACATTCACACTTCTTTCATATAGCTGAGCGGAGATGCCATTAGAGCTTTCTAGTGTGTCTTAGAAAGTCAAAGCTGTTGGAGCAGGACAGATCCCTGCTTTAGGGCTTTGCAGGATGATAGGCAGCAGATGGTATATATACCACATTTAAAAAAAACTGTCTTTTGTTGATTTTACACCTACAAATGTGATGCTTTTTGCACACAAAAAACTGTAGGAATAATATTTGCTTGTTCGCATTTGCATACAATACTTTTTATGTGTCTGTTACACCGACTGAGCGCTGTTATTGACTGTGTGGCTCACAGTTCTTACACTCTCCGAATGCTAATCGCACCTCGTATGTTTCAACTGTGAATTATGTGTACATTCCAGACCTCGTTGCTTTCATGCAATTTGCAAGCATTAGTTTTTTTTTATTTTATTTTTTTATTGTATTATTTAAATTAATTGATCTGTTATGTTTAGCAATTATGTTTGTGTTATCTGTATTATTGATATGAATGATTTCCATAATTATCAATTAAATTAATAAATTGATCAAATGAAATACATTATATAATTAAAAATAAATGTAAAACACTAATATATATATATATATATATATATATTTGTGTGTTGTATTATTAATCTACAATTAAAATAAATTATAATAAAATTAAAATAAAATTATAATAAAATTAAAATATGGGCAATTAAATATGTAAATATTTAAATGCCTGTGTATACAATAAGTGATAGGTAAGAAGGCAAAAATTAAAGGTAAAAATATTATATGTAGTGTGGTAAGATGGCCTCTTTAAATAATTTACATTTTGTTCTATAACAAAAAAAAATATATATATATATATATATATATCGGTAATCAATTAAATTGACTTTTTAATATGTTGACTTAACCGCTTTCATAATGTTTAAGGTATTCAACTGGTCCAGCAAGAGAAGAAACAGAACAAGGTGTCCAACGCCAAGCGGGCACGAGCGCACTGGCAGCTCCTCTTCACGCTGGTCAACAACCCGTCCTTGGTGGGCTCCCGAAAGCATTTCCAGTGCCAGAGTTCAGAAAGCTTCATCAACGGAGCGCTCAACCGGACCTCAAAGGAGGGCAGCAAAAAGGAAGGCAGCATCCAGGAGCCGAGCAAGGAGACGGAAAGCGCCGCCACCAACAACTGAGGACTGGACATCACAATGCGGAGAAAGAGACCCCCCACCCCGTCCCGCCTCACCCCGCCTCGCCTCTCTTAATGGCTGCTGGCCAGATATTGATGATAGTATTATTTGCTTTGGTGTAGCAGAGAAGCACATGTGTTTTAGCTAAGTGCACTTACAGCTCAGTGCCTCAGGAAGAACTCCAAGCAGTTGTAGTTAACGGATCCGTTGCATGTGTGTGGATGTGTGGATGGATGGATGGATGGATGGATTGTGTCTTTTGTTGCATGTCTGAGTGAGACTGTCTTTCCTTCTTGGACTTAGCATATCAGGAAATCTAGTTTGGCACTGAACTCCCATCTAACCGCTTGATGCGAGGTTAGGATGTGTGACTATTTATGAATGTACAGGTTCTGCTCTTTGGCAAAACTGATGAATTAATTATTTCCACTCATTTTTGCACTCACTGGTGTGAGTTTTACCAGTGGTGAGAATGTTCTTATATTAAACAAACAGATGAAGCCTATAATGTCTATTATGGGTTGAGCTGTATCTGTTCTTTTAAGACAACATAATTGCATTGCAATATTTTTTTTTTCATCTCTGACTAAATATAAACACAATCTGTCTCACTGTTACATTTGACACTTCATTTTGATAGTCCCCTCTATTATGTCTTTTTTTCTGCTACCTAGGGCATATTTGTGATTTATGAAATTAAATAAATATTAAAACTTAAAAAAATCTGTTCACTGTGTTGAATTAAGGGAAATTGCGCCTTTTCTCGCGTCGCGTAAAATCAAACGCATGTTTTTTCATGTTCAGTTAAAAAAGAAAAAATAGAACCATTAATTATAATATACTCCCACGAATATAGTTATGCATTATTTTCCTTGCGGCAATTTTAAACATTTTAAAAAGATTTTCGTTCGTTATTCAAACGTATGGTTTGTAGAGTAGAGTAAGGTGTGAGCAAAACTAAACCGAAATCTCATTATTCCTTTGTTCTGCCCTGGTGAATAGCTATTACAATATCCATGACGGGAAAAAAAAAGCTTCTAAAAATGGGATAAATTATTCCGTGGATTTAAATGCGTTTATAGAATGTCCTAGGATGCATGCTCATTTATTTATTTATTTTCAAATATTCGTTTTAGAAACACAAAAACTAAACATGTTAGTGGTTACCTGTTCCCCTTTCGCACGGCGTTTCACAGGACCTTAAATTTCCTTTTAAATCATAATTTGAAGAGTGCTTGCTGGATATTGAACAGTCAGTTGGGTGGTTTATGTGAAAAGCTTATCCTCATTTATATAGGCTATATAAACACTTTTCTATATTTGCAAATAATTTCCAATACATTCGTTCGTTCAGTATTTTATTAAGGTCACGTAGTCCTACATAAAATCATATCAAAATATTTAAAAGGTTTGAATATTTTTACAACATCATTGGACAGCTGGACAAGAAACAAGCCACTATATGCGTCAGTTTACTGGACACACGATGTCGTGTTGACATGGTAAAAACGGACCATTTATATATATATAAAAAAAGAGAGAACATTTTCTCAGATTACTTGGCTTACATCACAAATCGACATTGAATATCTACAGTCTATAGTAACCTAATAAAACACACTTGAAAATACTTTTGTGTGACATGCCACGATTAAAGGCTATCTCAAACAGAAGAAAGGAGACGTTTAGTCAGTTCGTAAAGGCGAGAGATATTTTAAAGCACCCGGTCGCAAAGATATTAAAAATCACACACGTATGTTGGGATCCCACATTACACTTAACAAACTTTTTTTTCCAAGGTGACCTGGTTCGTTTTCCAGACACACACATGCTGTGAAAAGAGTAGGGTCACATTTCCCTCAGAAGCGCTCGATGTTTGTCCACTATATCGATGACTTAAAATGGATGCTACTTGACAATGAAAGTGACGAGACTCACGGAAAGTGAATTGTAGCTATTATGAGGGGTTTTTTGAAGATAGATTTACGTCCAGTCCACTGGATAAAATGTCAAACCCCTATTTGTAATAATGAACACTCATCGTATGCACGTACTGATAGTGATATCTTGCTGAGGTAAAAAAAAGGCTGTAGGCTAGAGACCTTATTCACAGTGGCGCCATCTTCCATTTTTTAACGGAAATTCAAGCGAGGCGTTGAGGGATAGATATCTTTTCAGTTGGTTGTATTGTTCTGTAATGTGTTTTTTTATTGTTCTGCTGACGAATAACTGCAAAAATATATTTGCAAGAAATTCAAGTAGACCAAAAAAAAAAACTGAGCTGTGGAAAATTAGCTTTTTACAGCTGATGCTAGCCTATTGAAAACACTGCAAGTCTATCTCTCACTGCCCCGCTTTCATACCTGCCATGGCGCAGCTCTGAATAAAGTCTATTACATGAGAAGACAATCCGTATTCACCTGGTTTGTATTGTGTTTCAGAGCAAACGAAGAATAAACATCTCAACGGGGTTGTTTGTAATTACCGTTGATCTCCGCAGATATGTTTACTGCTTCAGCCCCAAGTGGCAACCGATCACTGTACTCAGATCCAGCTTCAAAATCCTCCTGCGTTTTGGATTGTGACTCGGGAATGGACTCGGTCACCACACTGCCCTCGATATCCTCACCTTCTCCGTCCTCGCCATCAGCCTCGCCTTCGCCCTCTCCCAGCTCACTCGGGTCAAAGTTCTTGTCCGATCCCACAAAAGATGCCCTGGGGTCGAAATCCGTCGCTATGTGCTTTTCCATCTGATCTGGGTTTTGTGTCTTCATAATCAACTTGTAGGTCTTGCCTTGATACTTGTAGAGCAGATGGCAGCAGGTGGCTCCCAGCAGGGGCACGGTTGCCAAAGCTAGCAGAAAAATGCTAACGACCACTATAATCAGCAAAGATGGGATTTTCTTCCGGGTTGTGAAGACCACTTGGACTTGACAGTCCTGGCCTCCATACGTGAGGCATAGGGTGTAATTAGTGCCTGGCTTGAGGCCCTGAAAGCGATAGGCGTTGACGCCCTCCTCTATCTTGGACCACTGCACCACTGAATGTCCATTACCAGTACTGACGCAAAGGTACAACATATCCAGGGGTGCCTTTTTGGTGGACGTCTGGAAAAGGCTAAAAGGCTCCTTATTTACAGTTTGGAGGTCTTGTTGTTGACTGAGGTGAATGTTTGACTTTGCGTTGGCCATCTGGAAAGGGTTCAGCTGAACCTTGGCCTCAGTCTCTGAAACCTCCAGAGCGATAACCCCAAAATCAAACGTGTACTGTTTGAGTTCGTCCAAGCTGAGATTGAAAGCATGGTTGGAGATGTACTGCGTACCATCATTTATTCCGCATTTGCCAACAAATGGCAAATTATCGGCCCCTTCTTCCACTTGCTCTCTACCCCTCGCAATAAGAGATGTTCCGGTTGGAAGGCTCTTTGTCTTCTCCTCAGATTTGGACCACATGTTAATAACGCTGTTTTTGGAGCCTTTTGAACCAAGTTTGTCTTCTGGTAAATGGACAGGTGCTTTTGTGTCAAGCATCGAATTGATGGCGTGCTTTTTGGTGCCTGCGACAACAAGTCTCACCGAGCGCTCGGCTTTTCCCATGTCGTTGACGGCAGAGCAGGTGTAGTTGCCGTCTTCTTTCTTGCTCACGCGAGGGATGATCAAGGTGCCGTTTTGAAACACAAGGAACCTTGTGTTCGTAGGCGGCCCATTAACCGGAATCTCAATTTTTTCGACAACGGCGGGTAAAGGGAACGTAATTAGTTGGTTCCCAGCGTATATCTCCCATGTGACGTCCGGTTTAGGGGTTCCTTTTGTTTCGCAGTATAGCATGACCAAATATCCCTCGTAGAGTTCGGTTTTTTCGATGTTTGGCTGATATGTGATGGACACGGACGGAGCCTTGCAATCCAGTTTGGGCATGCTAGTCACCTGTGTACCTTTGAGGTAGGACGGAGCATCACAGACAATGTTGTTTGGGTCAGGGATTGAGATTGAGGATTTGGTGATCCAGTCCCTAAGCCACTCAAGGTTGCAGGAGCAGATGAAGGGGTTGTGGAAGATTTGGAGGTGGGACATGGCAGTCAAAGCATCGAACGTTCCCTGCACGATGGTGGTAAACTTGTTATTGTTGATACGGACCGAACGCAGGTCCTTCAGGTTGGAAAAAGCGTTCTTGGGGATGCTGACCATCTCGTTATTGTTCATCTTTAACAACTGCAGGGCAGTGAGATTGGTCAAGTCCTCCCATGGAAAATGCACAATTTTGTTGTGGCTAATATCCAAATTTCTCAGCTGAATCATCGGAGCCAAGGTGTCCCTCTCGACGGTGACGATTTCGTTGTGAGCCAGCCAAAGAGAGGTCACCTGGGTCACATTTATAAAGGTTTTGGATTTCAGCACTTTAATCTTGTTCGCTGAAAGACTCAGGGTGGTCACGTTGGGCGGCAAGCCCACAGGTACCTCCAGAAGTTCTTTGTAGGCACAATCTGCAAACTGATGGTTATATTTATCAGAGCAGATACACTGCTCAGGGCAACAGTGCGCACTGCCAATCACTGCAGTCCCCAAGGCAATAAGCATCAGGTATTTGGTTGCCATTGTCAGCTCCTGCCAAGCACACATGAAGGTGCAGATTAGTACAAATTATTTATGTATTTTTCACACTCAAGTCATTTATAGTTAACTATTGCAGCGCTTGATGTTATCGTAGTGTCAAACAAATATATTTTGAAAACTTACCAAAAACGAAAATGCTTTTTTTATTATTATTTATTATTATTACATGCACTTACTCTAGTAATAACTATAAATTATGCATAATTGCAAGCCCACACCAAACCCTAATCCTAACCCTATAATTACAGTGTAACAAATACATCTTAAAATACAGTGTAACCCTTTATTTTAAGGTGACATTGTTACACTTACTCCCATAAGAACTGAGTAACTACATGTACTAACTACAGGGTTAGGATTAGGGTAGTGGCATGTAATTATGCATACAAACTGTAATGTTATTACAATAGTAAATACATGTAGTAATGTGTAACTACCTTAAATGATTTATTCTGTTTATTTCATTATCTTTTTTCTCGCGTTATCAAGTTCTTTTAGACTACTTGAGATGTCTGATGTCTTTTTTTGTTTCTTTTCGTTCATCTCGACATCCTCGAGCGTCTTGCTGTTACCGGACGACTGAGCACCGAAGGCTCGTCAACGTCCCGTTCTTGTACCGTGTTCGCTGTCCAACGTGCTGAAAACGCGCTTCACGTTATATAATAAAACTTATTTGTGTTGCGAATGTCTTGAACATCTCGAGATGTAGCGACTGCTGCTTAACCACACAATCCTTACAATCTTTCGCTGAAAGTTTAAATAAGAAACACTTTTACAGTTTATTTGCTATTGTTTCTGTCTACATTCTGGGCAATTGTTGCTTAAAAACTTTCTCATAGTGCCTTACCTGTGGGTGATATATTCCTAACGCTCGCGCGGATTTCAGTCAACACGACACTTGATGAGATTTAAAAACAATATTTAATGCTCAGATGTCAAATCATCCCAAAACATAATGTAGCCTTTTATATCCCGCTGGAAATCTCTGCTATTTTTGTTAGCAGACGGCAGATGATACATTTTAGTGTCCGTGAGATGCTGAGCAGTCCAGAGGCTGTTTTCTCATGATCGCGCTTGAGTTTGGACAGAATTCTCTGCGCGCTCCCGCTTGCACAGTGTAAGGGGAGGGATTGTGAACGCGCAGCCTCTCCCTTCAATTCCGCATTAATACCACAGGGACTTTGCCGTCCAGATGAAGGTTATTCATAATTTAGATACAGTTGATAATTTATATCACATCACATGACCTATGCCCATTGTCTTTTCGAAGTGATTATTACCGATAGCCAGATAATTATTTTTCATATATAAACAATAAAAAAGTAATTTAAAAGATTGAATATGCAATCACAAACACATTTATATTTTGATTTGCTTGTGTCCGAATGAATTTGACAGGTTTGTCAGTTTTTTATATTGTTAAAATCGTAAAATCAACCCGATGTGAAAGACAAAATGGTGAAGTCCAAACATTGTCTAATGAGACTATCTGTCTGTCAAGGAGGAACGGAAAATCATGCAACATTATCTTTGCAATTATTATATATTTTTTAATGTCAGAATATATTTTGTCAGTGCCTAAAGTTAAGTTATTTTCCCTGAGATGAATTTTGAACACTTCGCTGCTGTTAGCGAACCAGATATTAAAAAACAAGCGAACTGAGCTGCAGAAACAATGAAGCGTCATGAAGCTCGTGAAAAGCTGTAGGCTATCCTGTTTGCAATTGCGGTGACTTTAGTTAAAGTTTCTTAATTTGTTGACATGTCTGCTCAGGGGTGAACTCCTTCTCAAGAAACGAAACTAAATACAATGATAATGTGAACTCACTTGGCTTTGAGGGACACAGATCTTCTTTATGTCTGTTCATTGCGTTTTTCTTTCTTTTTTTTTTTCTTTTTCTTTTTCTTTTTGCGGTTTGCGGTGGTGACGGCCGAACCCTTTCACATGCTGACATCTAGTGGTCGTTGTCGTTGTTGCTGTTCCTGGAGGGCCACAACCCTGCAGAGTTTAGCTTCCTTCAACCCTAATTAAACACACCTGATCAGCTAATCAAGTCCTTCAGCCCCATTGAAAAGAGTTTGACACCCCTGCTCTACTAGATCTTTTATCAGATTTTTTTTTTTTTTGAACATAGGTTTCTTTCTTTTCTGCAATTCCAGAAAGTGTTTAATCCCATTGCATTGTGGTAAATTGAAGGGCAATTTTTAAAGCAATCAAATGTGCAGGTTTAATTACCTATTAATTGTTATTTAAGTGAAATTACTGAATTTAAATACACAAGTTTGATAAAAATCATCATTAAAGAAGAAAATTTCAAATGGCATTTAGAGGCTTTTGCATCTGAACTCTTCATATGTATATATGTATATATATATATATATATATATATATATATATATAGCCTAAACTTGACCTTTGATTTTCTCTTTCTGCTCTCTCTCTCTCCACAAATTGGTCTATTTTAAACACTTCGGTATGTGAATATTGTATCAGCATCAATGGTATTATTACATTTTTTTATTTAGAAGTGTTACCGTGATGAAACCGAAACACAACGGTCATAAAACTACAGCAAATGCATTATACACTCAGTAAGTTTCTATGTTGTGCTGGCTTATACTGACACCTGGCAGTTATTATTTTTTATTAGCTATTTTCACAAGGGTTTTGATTGGATCAATATCTAGAATATTGAATGACAATAGGCCTACTGCTAAATAGGGTCACTTTTTAATTCCTACATGTAGGCTACAATGTATCATGAGCATTATTTTAGCCCATTTATAATGTATCGCAGCTAGAGCTCACTTAGGCTATGATTATACAGACACAAGGTGGTGCTGTGCATCTAGCCACTGATTGTACACAGTCCATGCAAAATACCTTGGACAGTGTTAATAAAAGCAATTTTCGAAAACATTTTTATTATTTTATTTAGTATTTTATTAAAAGAAATGTCGCTAAAGTCATTAATATATTCATATATTGTCATTAATTTATTATTTTTGCATTAAAGGGTTAGGGTTAGGGATAATTTACTCACCCCCATGTCATCCAAGATGTCCATGTCTTTCTTTCTTCAGTCGAAAAGAAATGAAGGTTTTTGATGAAAATGTTCCAGGATTTTTCTCCATGTAATGCACTTCAATGGGAACCAAACAGTTCCAGACACACTGTTATTTCCATCAGATTGTATTTTATAAACTCAAGGATGTGTTGAGGAAGTGAAAACAATGAGACAATTTTGTAATAAACTTGAGTTTATTCTGAATTCTTTTTAATGCCATTTATAAATTGATCAAAAAAGTAGAAAATTGTAGGCATATTTACATTATTTTATTCTAACTTTTATCCTAAATTGAAAATATGAGGTCATTGTAATTGCAGTCTCATAGTTATGTTGGGCATATCTTACGTTCACTCTTTTTCGTTTATATATTTTAAAATCCAAATTACATTCTCTTGTGGTCGGAAAAGTGTGCAACACACTTCCATTCTGTGACAAAAGTTAAATGTGTGGGTAAAGTTGTAGCTGTAACAGTTGTAAAAATCACAAAAAAAGTGAATATAATTTATTTTCCTAATGCAGCCAGTAGTAGTGTTAAAACAGACAGGTGCTGTAGACGGTAACTTTGTGACTGATCTCCTGAAGCACTTCTTTCACCGCCTTCTCCAGATCCACCAGCTCATTGGCCTTGTCCTCCAGCAGCTTCTGATTTTCATCGTAGCTCTTTTCAAGATCTGCAAAACAACACAAGTTTAGCTCTTCTTAATTGAGAACACTAAAATCTAAATCGAAAACAGTTGTATGATAGTTGTTTTAAAACTAGTGATGCACCAAAATTTTGCCTTCCAGTGACGTTTAATTAGTAAATAATTAATAATCTTTGTGCTTTGTAAATATAAATAGAGTCTCAACTTTTAAATTAAGTGCATTTTATCAACGAAATTGAAAAAATAAATGTAATTTGGGCTTTTTTTGTATCCGCTCAATTACTGTTTCGATGCTCTGAAGTACGCATTCATTATCTGTTAGTAATGTCTTCATTAGAAGAAACATAATTATAGTATTAAAAATTGATATAAAAACTGCCTAATGTGTGATTTTAAATGTTTATACAACTTTTCTTTTCTTTTGAGTGTTGATTATTAAATGAATGAAAATAAATATCAAATAAACTTTTTTTAAAGGTTTTCGGCTCAGAATTTGTATTTTTCAGTGCATCACTACTTTAAACCTCAATGTTTAAACCCAGAAATCACTTTAGAGTCGCAGCTCTGTTCCCCAGTGTAACCGCTGATGTTGCAGTTGCGCTTATTTCATATGTGTAATATTTCCTTCGCAATTACAATCAGAAATGCACTATCGACTTACTTTTCAGAAGCTGAAGTTTCTCGCTGGCCTGCAGCAACAGAGTTTTGGCTTCCTGTTGGAGTTTCTCAGCTCTTTTCTTGGCCTCTGCCACTCCTCCAGCCTTCTGTGTGATCAGCTCTTCAACAGTACTGTACTTGTCTTTCAGCTCTGAATCCAGATCCTGCAGAAATGGCCAACATAAGAGGTTACAAACGCAAAACAGTTAAAAGAGTTCACTTAAAAAAACTTTTGCTGATAATTTACTCACCCCCATGTCATCCAAGATGTCCACGTCTGTCTTTCTTCAGTCAAAAACAAATTAAAGCATTCCAGGATTTTTCTCCATATAATGGACTTCAATGGGAACCAAACGGTTCAAGGTCCAAATGAGAGTTTCAGTGCAGCTTCAAAGGCTTTTAAACGACACCAGACGATGAATAAGGGTTTTATCTAGGAATCATGATTCGAAAAAGATTCGTTCATTTTGATGAACGAGTTTGAACAGGAGAGTCACGAACGCTCATCAGAGAACAGAGCACGCGAGCATTTGTGCTTATAAAACTTAAACTTTTTTATTTATTTTTTTAAATGAGCGATCGTTTCACTAGATAAGACCCTTATTCATCGTCTGGTGCCGTTTAAAGCCCTTTGAAGCTGCACTGAAACTCTCATTTGGACCTGTTTTTAGACCATTTGGTTCCCATTGAAGTCCATTATATGGAGAAAATCCTGGGATGTTTTCATCAAAAACCTTAATTTCTTTTCGACTGAAGAAAGAAAGACATGGACATCTTGGATGACATGGGGGTGAGTAAATTATCAGCAAAAGTTTTTTTAAAAGTGAACTAATCCTTTAATACCAAAAATTTGTCACATGTCCAGATATTACAGGCACCTTTTTGAGCTGCTCGGCCAGCGCGTTAATGCTATCAGCCTCTTTCTCTGTGCTGTTGGCGCTTGTAGAGGTATTGAGAGCCTTTTCTTTCAGCAGAGCCACATCGCTTTCCAACTTCAGGAGCCTTCGGGTGGCGTTACTCAGTTTTAGCTCTGAGTCGGATGTCTCTGACTCCACCTTTTGTACAAAAGAGTCACTTAGATTCATTCAAAAGCAGCAATGTCCAAAACAGGTCTAGAATTAATGACTGGTGATTATAAAGCAGTGCAAAGTGACTCACCGAGACCAGCAGGTCTTGTGTCCCCTTGATGTCAGCAGTGGCCTGTTTCAAGGCCTCGGTCACAGAGCTCTGAGTGCGCTCAGCATGCTGCAAGGCCTCCTTCACCATCTCAGCTGTGTCTTTGACATCTGTCGCCTCCTTCCTGTGAGAAATAGAGACCAAACAAACGTGTTGTTCAATGAACTGACACTAGGTGGCAATACTGCCACAATCCACACATTAAAGGGATAGTTCACCCAAAAAAGAAAATAAGCCCATGATTTACTCAAAATCAAGGTGAAATCAATGATTATTGATTTTATTGAAGAACATAAATGGAATCAAGTCCAGTCAAATCGATTTATATAACTCTTTACCAAACACACAGTGTTTCAAAGCAGCTTTACTGACAATCATGTTGTTAATGATAATAATATCTTAAAGGGATACTCCACTTTTTTTGGAAATAGGCTTATTTTACCACTCCCCCAGAATTAAACAGTCGAGTTTAACCGTTTTCGAATCCATTCAGCCGATTTTCTGATATTAAGAAGAATATCAGTAACCAGACAGTTTCTGGTCTCATTGACTTCTATAGTA